AATTTGGCACAAATGTTTTCAATAGACTTTTGTTCTTCCTCATTTAGATTTTCAAATTTTAGTAAAGAAAACAAAGACTTGACCCTCTCTGCGTTCATATTCGACTTATTAAAGTGACATAAATAATAATCGCTTAACTTAGAAACGTTTAAATTAAAATAATTCAAAATTACATCCTCATTTCGTGTATTCATTATTTTAAAAGGTATCTTACCATTATGCGGCTGTACTATAATGTTAGCAATGTATACTCCGTGACATAATTCTTGAGAACTAATGACACATTCTTGTTTTAACTTCGTGTCAACATAATGAATTGATTCGCTTCTTGCTGGAATTGTTAAATATGAACTATCTTGTCTCAAATAAGTAATGGGTAATGTGACAGGTCTCTCTAAATTACAAATTCTTAATTCATTTAATTCGAAGTCTACAACTGCTTTGTACTTTGTCAAAAAATCTTGCCCTAAAATTCCATCAGTTTTGCATGGTAATTTATCAAATACATAAAATTTATGTTTTATAGTGTAGGTATCAATTTTGAGCTGTAAATAAATATATCCTTCTGACTGTACGCTTCCACCAACGCCGTTGACGCAAAGTTTTTCTTTATGGAATGGAATGCGTAAACATTTTACTCTATCGTGCTTGACAACTGAAATCGAAGCGCCGGTGTCGATTAGCCATTCGCTTTTGTTGTGCTCATGCCTGTCCAATTTAATACATACTTTACATAAGCTGTTGCACATACATACATAGTCAGACTCGAAAAAAATGATTCAAATGTGACATATTTGCTTGCTCTGATTCATCGCGGTCACGTTTCGTTGCCATGCAGGGGTCACCTGTCGTGGATATAAAGTTCACATTCCTATGGTATGATTGACGGCGATTGCCCTGATACCTACCCCTGTACGAGTTTCCACGAGAAAACACTCTTGGGTTTCTTGGATGATATGAGTACTGTGGCCGTCTGTAATAATAATTTGGTGTATTTACCTTTACGGCGGACTGCCCTCGCGCGTATCCTCTGTGTCCTCCGCGCGCTTTCGCTGCTCGGTGGGGGGGGTGTAAACCCACGGGGTTGAGCGGACATGCCCATTACATCCGCTGAGGAAATTATCGTGATCTCTTCATCTTGCGCTGCTTGAATGGCGTCTTTTAGTGTATTAAAATCACGCGCTGCAATTATTGTACTTGTTCTACGGTTCCTAAGCCCGTCAGCAAACCGTTTAATTGCGTAATTTTCGTTTAACGGGCGCAGAACATTATAATGATCAGAATTTCCGTCCGATTGGGTAATAGTTAAATCCGC